GGAGGAGAGGAGGAGGAGAGGGAGGAGGGGGAGGAGGGGCGAGGGGCGAGGGGAGAGGGGAGAGGGGAGAGAATAGGAGGCAAGGGAGTTGGGAGAGGTGAACAGGGAGTGGGAAGAGGTGAGCAGGGGAAGGAAGAGGTGAGCAAGGAGTGGGAAGAGGTGAGCAAGGAGTGGGACGAGGCAGTTTGTGGGAACAGGGTTTCCTAGTGTTCGTTCTCACCTGAGCGCCTTGTGCTCGGCGTCGAAGAGCTGCCGCTTCTTCGTCTGCACCACCTGTGGCGGCTGCATTGCTTGCTCCAACACCTGCCACTGCTGCTCTATCGCCGCCTTTACCTCCTCCTCCTCCTCCTCTTCTTCCTCCTCCTCCTCCTCCTCCTCCTCCTCCTCCTCCTCCTGCTGCTGCTGCTGCTGCTGCTGCTGCTGCTGCTGCTGCTGCTGCTGCTGCTGCTGCTGCTGCTGCTGCTCCTGCTGATGATGGTGTTGCTGCTCTTTATGCTGCTCCTGCGGTTGCTGTCGCTGTCCCGGCTCCTTCTCCGGCTGCTGCTGCTGCGGCGGCGGCGAGCGTGCAGGGGAGGGGATGGGCGGAGCAGAGGAGGGCGAAATTGAATGATCTGGACCATCAAGAGTGAGTGCAGAGGGAGCGGAGGGCCGCTGCCTGCTGTCGCCGGTGAAGGTGGAAGAACCCCCGGAGTGCGGAGAACTGAAGAGCAAGTGCTGCTGCTGCTGCTGCTGCTGCTTTCGTTGCTGCGGTTGCTGCTGTTGCTGTGGTTGCTGTGGTTGCTGCGGTTGCTGCTGTTGCTGTGGTTGCTGCGGTTGCTGCTGTTGCTGTGGTTGCTGCGGTTGCTGCTGTTGCTGTGGTTGCTGCGGTTGCTGCTGTTGCTGTGGTTGCTGCGGTTGCTGCTGTTGCGGTGCCGGCTTCACAGCAGCTACTGCTGTCTGATAATCGCTGCCACTCCGACAGGCTATCATGAGCCCAGCCTCACGCCTAGCAGAAGCGGCGTCGGCTCCAGTGTCAGCAGCAGCACGGGGGTTTTGGGCAGGCGTTAGAGGATGGGCAGGTGTGGGAGGATGGGCACGCGATAGGGGAGAGGCCGGCACAGGAGGGAGGGCAGGCGTGGGAAGGGAAGCAGGAGCAGGCGCGACTGCACCGGCAGAGCTAGCAGGGAGCAGTGCAATCGGCAGGGATGGTGATGAGCTTGGCGCGGGTGAGAGCTGCGGGAAGGGCGCCTGACCGCGAAGAAACTTCCTGTGGAGGTACCACAACATGAGCAGGGTGACAGGGAGAGCAGAGTGAGCAGGGTGAGCTGTGAGCAGAGCAAGGATAAATGAAGCGAACAAGGTTAATGGTGTCAGTTGACCTCTCAGGCAGAGCGCGAAGTCACAAGCTGCTTGACTTTCTGGAACTATTTTCAGAGAGAGAGAGAGAGAGAGAGGGGCCCTTTAAACATGCACGTACCTTGACTTGTTTCCTCCTGCCTGCCTAACCTGTACCCAGGATTCCAAACAATAAACGGACCGCTTGAGAGAGAGAGAGAGGGAGCGAGAGAGAGGGAGAGGGAGCGAGAGAGAGGGAGAGGGAGCGAGAGAGGGAGAGGGAGCGAGAGAGGGGGAGGGAGCGAGAGAGAGGGAGGGAGCGAGAGAGAGGGAGGGAGCGAGATAGAGGGAGGGAGCGAGAGAGAGGGAGGGAGCGAGAGAGAGGGAGGGAGCGAGAGAGCGAGATAGAGAGAGAGATAGAGAGAGAGAGATAGAGATAGCGAGAGAGAGAGAGAGAGAGAGAGAGAGAGAGAGAGAGAGAGAGAGAGAGAGAGAGAGAGAGAGAGAGAGAGAGAGAGAGAGCGAGAGAGAGAGAGACACAGAGAGAGAGAGAGAGAGAGAGAGAGAGAGAGAGAGAGAGAGAGAGAGAGAGAGAGAGAGAGAGTGAGAGAGAGAGAGAGAGAGAGAGAGAGAGAGAGAGAGAGAGAGAGAGAGAGAGAGAGAGAGAGAGAGAGAGAGAGAGAGAGAGAGAGAGAGAACAGAAACATCCAAGTCATGGGATTTTGGGCAGTTGGCCTAATGGAATTATTAAACCCTCACCCTCCTTGCTTCTGGCGTACCTTTTAAGGAGCAGAAATCGGTTGCAGCAGGCCTTGGCGTCGCGATGAGGGGCCAATCTTCTGCTCCGGTGTAAGTAATGCCACTTGGAACTGCCGTGTACCATAACGTGGTTTAGCAGTATCGTGTCCTCCTGTATCGAGATGGGAGGGTGGGGAGGGAGGGGAAGGATTGAAGAATGAGGGACCTATTCCGGGTGAAGAAAGCATACTTTGTCTAAAGCTTACTCCGTCACAAGCCAGATTCTGTCCACACTCATGCTCCTACTTATTCGTGACCCAAACTCCGTGTAAAATCTACAAATCAAAAGCTTACTCTGTCAAGAGCATCATCTGTCAAAAGCATTCACTGGAAAGAATACTCTGTCAAAAACAACACCCTGTAAATACAACCTCAAAAGCCAAAGAATGCATCCCACAGATGTGGGGACATCAGGTTGATCCCCACCTCGAAAGTCCATCTGGCAGCATAATGCCGTTGCGTCAAAGAAGGATGTCTGGAAGCCATCATCATAGCTCTGACCCCTCAGGGGGGAATATTGAGCACTGTAGCTCCAAACTCTGGTGTGGATTGTACCAAGCGGCAAAGAAAGGTTATTCTTTCTTACTACTAGGTCCTAGGCGGAGCGGCAAGAAGGGAGACACCTCAGTAGAAGAGGGAGGTGAAGAGGGTGATATCTAAGTGCTCTGTGGTATTTAGGTTGTGGGAGTTGAAGCAGAAAGGTGGAGTGGGAGTGGTTCTAGTCATCCAACACTTGCAGAGAAAGGGAGAAGAGGGGGGAGGTGAAGGTGGGGAAGGAGAGGAAGAGAGGGTTTTGCTAGTATGGCGGCAGTAGACAGTGCTTTGAGTGTTGTTGTGGTGGCTTTTTGGCGGCGGGCTGGAAAGCTTCTGGACATCTGGAATCAGGGCGGTGGCTTTCGGTTGAGGGCTGGCAATAAGCGGTGCACAATCCACGTGGCGGACGCTAATCGACCCGAGAAGGAATCTGCCCTTTGGCATTGCTGGAAGGGTTGTCACGTGAGGTGTCAGCACCAGCGCGGCGTGGGGAAATGCACTAAGCCCACCGAAGCAAGCGCAGGAACGGACGAAACTCCCATCAGATGGGACGCGTGAAACGCGTGAAGATTTTTCTGGATGAAATCTGTAGCTTATGCATGCGCAAGGAGATGGTCGGCCAATGCTTCTACCAGCAATGCGGCCACCACACTTGCACGATCTGGGCGGTCGAAGCTTCCAACCCACCTTCAATTTTTTTTAACCCTGCCGGAAGGGCACGCTGGTTGCTGCGCACAAAGCAATGCTGCAGCGTGGGGACTGTACCCCTGTAACGGGCGCTAACATGAGCCGAATTGCGAATGCAACCAGATCGCCGAAGGCAAGTCTGCCAGAACTTACAGTAGCCTGCTGGTAGCATTCGAGTTAGTGGACACAACGACCAATGTATTGTCTGGAGGAACAAGAAAGTTCACCTTGGGATGTTCACGTGATCGTTGGGACAATCCAACAACACATATCTGATGAGTTCGATGTCCCTTCAGCACCAGGCCTAATTTTTCGTTTTTCAAGACCCAGCGGTCTCAGGATTCGCGTCATTAAAGACCCTGAAAATTCAGCGTTCCCTCGAAAATATCTATACATTTCAGGATTACTTTGACTTTACAACCTGAAATTCAGAGTATTTTTTGGGACTTAGGGTAAACCTGAGAATATCAGCGAAACCTGTGGGCACTTCGAGTACAAGCAGTAAGGACATCCATGGAAGAAACGATGTAGAAGAATTTTTAAAAAATACACACTTGCTGCTGCTGCTGTCCCTCACCACCACACCAAGCTCGACACTATCCTTGTTAATCGCGACAGAAATGCGTACAACTTGAGGGACAGTGTGCAACCTGGCTAAGGTGATATTAAGGGGTTGTGATAGGTCTGACAGCCCTGCACTTCTGTTGTGAATTTTCCACGGGTCGCACATTCAGATAGCGTGGAAAATTGGTCAGGATTGCGAAGGAATATTGTGGGGGGGGGGGGGGGAGGGTGAGGGGGGAGGGGGGGGGCTGCAATTACAGCACGGGTGAGTTTCCACGCCAGTCGGATGGTCAGGATAAATTTTCGTGCAATCCGGATTGCTCAGGGAGTTTCTTGGAAACGCAAGGAGTCAGTCAGGAGGTTTGTGATTCCAAACCCTCAAAATCGGAATTTTAGAAAACAAACGACCCGGAATGTACCTGACATTCCGGATGTTTACCCTTGAACCGAGAGCCCTGCTGGGAACTCCCCAGGGTTGGTTGGAGAATTGGAAGAATCGTAAATGTTCCAATTCTGCCCCTAACTGACATCTGAACAGTCGAATACTCTAGCATTCGAGTGCAGAAAGCGACACTCACACACGATTTCAGCATCCCAAATCCAGGTTGGAGACGTAAGGCTATCTTATCTGGTCGCGTTCCCGTAAATGGGGTGTCCGACATGAACGAAACCCAATGGGGTACCTTCTTGCAAGAAATGCATCATCAATGAGAAAAAGCATCTGCGGTGAAGGAATTTTGAAAAGGCATCTCTTGAAACTATCGAGTCGCGTGCCAGCAAGGTGTATCGGGAACGTCGATTCAGAGAAGTGTGCGTAAAGCGTCCGATCTTCCAGATCATCAGCCAAGTGGGCCTACGCCTCGAGGTAAGGGGCAGGGCGAAGAGCCCGCAGCACCAAACAGAGAATCCCCATTCGTAGGCAAAAATCGGAATACGCGAACTTATACAAGTTGAAATGTTTACAAATACACATGGTTATGTTGGTCAAGGGTTTGTAGCAGGCCCTCAGATTGGTTTTAGGGAGGCTGATTGCTCATGGTCGCCCATGTGAGAGCCCATGTTTTTCAGGGTCGGGTTGTGGGCGTGGCATGTTTTTCAGGCCAATTGTTTTTTTTAGTCTGACTTATCAGTGTTGAGTGACCCGCTGGGGTTGCCCTTGAGATCCTCGGGGAAGGGCCACAGGTGCAGAGCCTGGGGGGCTATGGGCGCACTTACCCGCTATTCAACAAGCCCTTTTAACCCAGTGGTTAGTGACTGGATTTCTGACAATCAGGCCTACATTTTTGTAGTTTCTGATTCTTAGGTCGGATCGGCCTTCACTACGTACAATTCTTCTCGTCAGATTCCTGCCAGATTTTAACTAAGGACCAATCAACCCCCTCACACCTCCTCCAGCTCGCCTGGAACTTGTGTGATTCTGGTCAAGGACCAATCACGCCCCCCACACCTGTTGTAGCTCGCCTTGAAGTTCCGTGATTGTGGTCAAGGACCAATCACGCCCCTCACACCTGCTCTAGCTCGCCTGGAACTTGCGTCATTTTTTGTCAAGGACCAATCACGCCCCTCACACCTGCCCCATCTCGCCTCGAACTTGCGTGATTCTGGTCATGGACCAGCCATGCCCCTCACACATGCTCTAGCTCGCCTTGGCAGATAAGATTCAGATTCAGGGCGAATTTCGAGTAAGGCTGATTCGTCAGGCTCGGTAAAACAAGAACATACTATTTTTCAGGCCTTAGAAAATGGGAACACATAAATTTTAGGTTTGATAAAAAATAAAACCTGAAAAATCAGGGTATGCTCTAGAAACCACCCTGATATATAGGCTTTCAGGCCTTTTTGGCCTGACTTCTGAGGCCCTGGTTTGTAGAGTGGTTGTACCGATTATTGTCCGTTTGGTGATTATTCGTCGCCATAAGTATCTTATTCTTCCCTCCCTCCTTATTTCCATCATAATTAATGATGCTTGACCCTTCTTTCCATTTTCCTACGCCGCTCTCTTCTCTCAGCATTCTTGCTCTGCACTTTCCTCCTTTCCTCTCCAACTTCCTCTTCCCCAATCTCCTCCACTCTTCTACCTCCCTCAAATCTTCTATCCATTTTCTGTGCCCACATGCATCGCTCTCTCTTAGAACAGCGAAGTGAATTCTAGTAAGGCATACATGATCATGGCCCCATTATTAGCGTAGAGGACTCGGGCAGAGCTAGGCCGCTCACCAGAACGCCAGCCAGCGGAGCTCCTGTGCCTCTAAGAATAACGCAATGACTAGAATGAGGCATACAGACAGGTTTTGTGATATGGTGCTGTACTCTCTATCAGCATTCACCTATCTAACCTTTAACGATATATAAATATGTTGCCCCACCCCCCATGCTAGACAAGGGGCAGTGCCTGGCAAGAGACACGCAGCTCAGGGTGGCACTACTAGTCCAACATCGGAGGCAAGGGTCCGAAGACCACTCAGAAGAGTACAAACTAGTCAAGAGCAAACCAGAGCGGCACTACTAGTCCGGCCACTGGAACTGAAGCCACAAGGCCAGTCAGGAGAATATATAAAAGAGTAGCACACAATATTTATACGGTCCTAGCAGGTGAGGAGCTACTGGAGCTAGACCAAGCTCTACATAGTGCCGCTGATGATCCTTAGGCGAAAGCGCCTTAGTAAAGATACCAGTTGTATTTGCACGAGAGGTCAAGTGAACTACGCGGGCCTGGCATCGCTGCTGTAGCTCGCGCAGGATGAAGTACCGCAGCTGGATGTGCTTCGCTCTGCCCTCCAGTCGAAGCTCTTCACATAGGTGGATCATGGTCCTGTTGTCAGCGTACAGGACTAGGGTAGAGCTAGGCCATAAATCGGGCACCAGAGAAGCCACTCGGTCCTAGGGGCGACGGTGTCGGTGAAGCCAGGCGGACGGAGCAGGTAGACCTACTCATGTAGACTGCACTGGAGAAACGCTGTAGAGAAGTCGAGGGAGTGCAGCTTGTAGTGACGTTGTGCTACTACAGTGACGGAAATGAATGGGCTTAAAATTCCATTGCAGTAGATAGAAATTGTGATTTAGGCATGATGTGTTGTCATAACTCGACAACAACAGATTGCATAGTGTGCCTCTTGACCTTAGCTGCTTAATGTAGTAGGGTGTTG